CACAAACCACTTCTGCTGTGATGATGGGCAGCTGATAGAAAAATGTTTGCAATCACATTGGTGTTTATTCTTATTAAGTACATGGCATTGGCCAAAGACATGCATACAGCCTCCACATGGAGAGGAAAACAGTGGGTTCAGATACCCCCCGTGAAGGTGAACACAAAGCATAAATTGAGAAGCATATCTCTTTACAGTGATCATCTATATCTTTGTGCATCTTTTCTAGGTCATCGGGAAAGGACTCTCCCACCATGGCCTGAGGAATAAGGAAGCAGCTGAGCCATTTCAAGCCAACAAAGTGTCTCTCATTCTAATGTCCCCAAATAAACTCCCCACACCCACCCTAGGAAGTCCGTGGGTTTCAGTTTCCTTTCTGGAGAATTGAATATTATTGGAGTTATATTTTAGGTCCAGAGATGCCCCCCAATTAGAAAGCCTCTTTCTTAGATATTGCAAAGAAAATCAATATTATGTCATCTGACTATTAGCAAAACTTATGTGATAATAATCTTACTGCCTTATTAAGTGGTTCATAACACATACTTTTGCAGAGGAGAGGGGCAGGGGCTGGGTGGAGGTGGGTAAAGAGGGAAAAGGGGGGACATCTCTAATAGTGTCAACAAATAATAAATAAATAAAATTTAAAGAAGTGATTTTTAAAAAAAGACATTGTTTTGGAACTATTCTGTCCATGATAGTGCTGGCAAACTTTTATCCATTCTTTTCATTCAATTTATCTTTATTGTTTAAAGTATTACTGATGTCAACTTTTTCTCCCCATTGACTCCCCTCCTTCCCACTCTTGTCTCCTCCCCAGGCCTTCACTCCACTATCCATTTTCTTAATCAAATGTTCATATACTGACAAGGTACCCCTACATACTGTTGATAAAACATATTAATAAAAATTACTACTCTTTTGCCCCCAGAAGTTGACAATAATTGTACTTAAAGTGGCTGTGGGAAATGACCTATTGTCTTCTCTAGCAGAGAGGTGTGGACAAGGAGCCCGGATTGCTGGTGACTCTTGAAGCCCTGGCAAAGGTCAGGGCTATGCACCGTTTAGTCCAGACAATGGTAGCTGAAGCAACTTCCCGACCAGATAGTCATGTAAATCCTTACTGATAAGATAGTCTGTCTGTTACTGGAACTTGCCTGCCTAAGGGCTATAGGTGTATCCCAACTGAATAAAAGGATGGCAAGGCCTGAGCACAAGTGGAGTCCATCCTCTTGGGATGGGCTCTCGCCTGGCCCCCCAATTTCCAAATTATTTCTTGTCTCATCTCTTTCATTTGTGTGTGGTCCCTCTTCCAGATCCTACACCCTGAACCACATGGGACATGGGGGACCATTCACAGTGGCAGCAATGAGTCTCTTGAAAGTTATTTTAACCCTTTGCACAATAATCTTGAGAGTTTGATGGATCGCTATGTCAGGATCTATAGACCCAAGTCCTTTCCTTCCAAGACTGTGTCTAACATTTGAGATATGTATGCTGATGGAATGCTTTGCTTTGTTTTGTTTTAGGTATACTCTTTCTTCTTCTGGAAAATTTTATTTTTTAGTGGTATACGAATAGGGAGCTGCATTTTTGTATTGCCAGCAATGGCTAGAATCATTCAAGGTCAGTGGTGAGAACTTTTGTGTATGACTTTGTGAGAATTTTATACTCTTAAAAATGCAGTGTTATATTTTATATATGGCAATTTATCCTGAAATACTCATGTATTAATAGTATGGTATAAATCCATGTGCAGATTAACCATGTATTAACCAGAAAAAAATTGTTTGGGGACCCTTTTCCCCTCCCCATGTGGGAATCTGTGCTTGTTCAATAAATCTCCACCTTTGCTGTACTGAAAAAACATTAACTAAGAGTGTCACTCATCCCAACAGCAGAATTTCTCTCCTGGGGAGAAGAACATTTTCAGAAATTTGGCCCACTCCTGATTCCCTCTCTTGGCCTTGCAGTATTGCTAGCTGCTGGTTTTTGCGTTTCTAGTGTTTCAAAGCAGCTGTTCTCCTTAGCATTCACTAGGTCTGAATTGGAGTCAGAGGCCACTGTGCCACCTGTTTGCTCAGGCTCTGGTAATGAAAGGGAGGAGTCACTCCCCATTTCCAAAGGAGATGTGTACCTTCCAATACAGTTCATAGGACAACAAAAGCATTTTTCAGAATAGATATCTCTTTCACAATTAAAGACCTAGGATACCACCCTGGGGCTCTGCACATCAGCTCTGTGTCCAGAGAGAAAAGAAACATTCGACAGCGATATACACCTTCCCAGTTGCCAATGTCTTCAATTCCTTTAAAATGATGACAACTCCAGATCTAGTCTCTCCAGCCAGGAGCTCTCATCTGTGCTCTGGACAGATCCATTCCAGCTCTCTACAGGCTCCAGTGTCTCATGCATGTTCATTATTCTCTCCCCAAACCTTCATTACTGCTGCTCCTCCTCCTCTGCACCTCTTCCACACAGTGTATCCTCATATCGCCCACCATCCAGAACCCTGTGTGGTTGTGTGTATATGTGAATATGTGTTTATTTGCTGGAAGCCGGTCCATCCTTGCTACTTGACACAGTCGCTGCAGGGAAGAAACATCTGCACAGCATATGTTTCAAGGGACCTGGCGTATATGCCATAGTGTTCTTAATATGTTTGCTCCCCTTCTTAGCGCTATGTGTTTTAACCAAGGTCACCTCTCTGAGAAAGGTTGTTTCCCCAGGTGGGGATTTTTCCCTGAAGTTAGGGATTAACAGGACTAAGGAAGAGAATAAATCAGTAAAACCCTCTAGTGTTGCAGAAATACCATGTACTACTTATGAAAAACTTGGACTTGGATAGGATTAAAATCAACTGGTATAAATACAGATGTAACAGGAGAATAAAGACAGAACCTGGCTGGAGAACCTGACTACAGAACCTGGCTAGGCTGCTGATCAACTGAACGCTGTCTCTGTGTCATTTCTTCTTCGCTGACTCTGTCCACACCTTTGGGAACCCCTGGACCTGCTGGGGTTTCACCCCAACAACTGGCGCCCAAATCCTGTCAGGGTTGGAATCATGTTGGTGGCCAAGGAGCTCTTACAGATGGACTTGTATGCGCTGCTAGGCATTGAGGAGAAGGTGGTAGTCAAAGAGGTGAAGAAGGCATATAGGCAGAAAGCCCGCTCTTGCCATCCAGACAAAAATCCGGATAATCCCAAAGCAGCTGAACTCTTCCACCAGCTTTCTCAGGCCTTGGAGGTACTGACTGATGCTGCAGCCAGGGCCGAGTATGACAAGGTCAGAAAAGCCAAGAAGCCAGGCCAGTCACAGGGCTCGGTGGTGTCCGAGAGGGACTATGAAAGCCTCGTCATGATGCGCATGCGCCAAGCAGCTAAGTGGCAGCAGAGAAGAAAGTGAAGCTTGACCTGGAGGCCCGGGAGCGGCAGGCTCAGGCCCGGGCCCGGGAGGAGGAGGAGGAGAGCCGGGGCACCAGGACACTTAGAGCAGGAGATCGAGCGCCTGCGAGAAGAGGGTTCCAGACAGCTGGAAAAACAGCAGAGGCTGATGCAGGAG